TGCAATGACATGATGAGCACGGTAAAACCTCGATTTATCTAACTTGACCCAACGCTTTTAACATATTCCGAGGAAGCTTCCTTGTAGTCAACACTCAAATCAAGTATGTAAGGAGCGTTTTGACGAACAAATGCAATAAAATCGTGAATACAAGCAATTCGATCCATTAAGCCAGCCTGTCCACAAGCGACTACACGGAGAAGGGCAGGAAGCTTGACCAACATGCGGAGCAGATGAGCCAAACCATAAAATTTGGATGAACGAATGATGTCAGGTCGGAGAGGACCTCCATCCTAAATTTCAAAACATCGAAATAAAATACTCATAAAATAAACTGATTTTATATCGCAACGTTGTTCTATAGCATCTAATACGTAGGATTCTGAAACTCGGAGATTAAAGAAACATACCAAAATCTGAGCGTACACTGACGGGGGAAATGACGTCTTCACTTCGCGCGATGACTTGCGCAACCTGCGCGGTGTTGTCTCTTGAAAATGCGCTTGTTCTGCGTCAAACTTCTCCTGTTCCTTCTTGGCCAAAGTATTAAACTGCAGGCGTTCAAATTTGTATAATAACTGGTAAGGAAGTAGGATGTCAAAATAGTCTCGCAATGCCCTCGCTGTTCTAATTAATATTTCATTGCTGGCCAGATATGTTACACCACTGTCGTGCCTAAAGCACGTTTCCATTTTAAGAATAAGCTACATCTTCAAAAAAATCAAAACTCACTCGATTTCTACTGCTTTGTTACCATAATGTAACTCCACAAATTCTACATATTTCTCCACAATGTCGTGCACAGTAACTCTCGACGGTAAGATAGCCAATTTTCCTTGATTAACAACAGCATCATGTTCATTAACCAAAATGTTCTTGATCAATTTCGGCAGACTGCCCAACTGTTCAAGTTGAGAGTCGATCTCAGGTGCAAGCAGATCAGCCGGAATGCGGCCTACACCTAAAACAGATCCCTCATTCGCATCTTACAAACCATCTTCTAGTCTAGCTTTACCTTATCTGTACTGTGGCTCAACAGCAAACTTAAATTGTGTAAACGTGGACGAAGTGATACTATATTTTAGTTAACAATAAAGCACAGTCAGGACATGATGCTCTACACAACTAACATGTTCTTATGAAGGCATCCGTGGAAATTAATACTATGAATAGGTGCTGTTACTTACGATACAACATCATTGTATCCACTATTACATACGACATACGAGAACCTCTGTAAAAATCTGTTTTGAAGTCAGCTTCAGGCAAAATTAAAGTGTTTTTTAGTTTTCTCCACATTACCGTAGCCAGCCTCAAAAAACTCCCTTGTGGCTGAAAAGCAACCAAGGAAGTCAATCATTCAGAACTTTTTGGATGGTCTCTTGCTACGAAGACAGGGTTGTCTGGGAAAGATTCAGAAAACTCCTACTGCAACTCGTCTGCGTCCATGAAAATTGAAATCAAAAATCTGTCTGGACACTGCTTTCGAGCTAATAGGGTTTTGAAAAAAAGGCATAAACTAGACAAAAAAAATCAGTTGCTCAATAGCATAAATTCAAATTCTTTCATAACAGCTTTTATCTTAACAAATAGCAAAGAGTCGCATTCAAGGAACAAAAACTTACCATCTCCCCCAGACTTTCGTGAACCATTATCATTTTTGGCAATATGTCCTCGGCGATCACTGTGGGTGCTGGGTGCATGCGAGCTGCTACCTCAAACAGAAATATATGCTAAGCTCCCAATTTCATCTCATTAAACAATCTAAAACGACTGTTTGAAAAATTGCTACAATCGATTTTTCAGTATTATGTTGAAATGCGAGCATGGCCGGGGCTTATGCAGCATAATAGCCGTAGCAAAGTGGTGAAAAGCAGCAGTGGGGAGGTGGAGGACAACAGCAAAAGAACGGAAGATTTCATGGCTAAACTGCACATGATGTTGTTTTTCTATACTGGCCTGCGAAAAGGATACTTCCAGAGAATAAGCAAAGGATTTGCTCATCAAAGATATC